GGCCGCGGGAGTCGCCCCTCTCCCGGTCAGTCTCATAGCGGGGGCTCCGCTGGTAATCGTCCAGCCTCCTCGCTCGTACGAACGCATCGTGATCTCTGCGGTCTCGGTCTATCTCGTCGTCCCTACGTCGCCACTGTTCCTCATCTCTCTCGCTTTCTCGCATCCGATAATCAGTCAGCGTCCGAGGATTTCTATCCTCGACGCTCCTCCAGGGATCGCTGTTCCGGCGGTCCCAGCGAAGCGAATAGGGCCCTCCAGGTTTGTCCCGGTATGTCGTGACCCTTGTAGTGGATACAATCTCTGTAACCTGCCTCGTCAATCCCTTCACCATATCCCGTATCTCCTTCACTTCCTCAGCCACTGCCTCGTTCTTCTCCGACCAGGGATAGTCCTTGAAATCAGGACATCTATCCGTGGCATATTCCTTGTAGAGAGAGAAGTCACGCCTTCTCATCCCCCTCCACACCAAGTCCTTGTAATCGTATGCCTCTGCCTTTATCGCGAGCTTTAGGACTTCTGGGAAATCAAGCCTGTCGCGCGGAAGATCTCTAAGTATACTTTTTTGCCTACCTTTGGACAAGTGTCCGATGAAGATTGTACAGCGCTTGACCTCTGAGATCTTCCCCTGGAAACGCATCCCAAATGCCCGCACGCTTCTAGAGTTATTGTTTCTAGGTCTCTGATGGAATACTTGTTATCCTGTAATTTGTAAAGCTCCACGAAATTCTTCTTGTAAGTAGCCCATCTTCCATCCTTTGGTCGAGCTTCTTTGACTTCCCTACCAAGACTTGGGTCCACGTTAAATAGGAAGTTCTCTATGATCTCTTCCTCTGACCACCGACTCCGGCAGGCGTGAAGCTTCCACTTCTCCAGATATTCAGTGATACCATAGCCCCTGAAAGTAGGAGGCTCCGAGGCCTTGTGCGTGATAATATAGCGATCCTTGCTCTCGTAAGGAAGCGGATGCGACTTCCCTGTCTGGGGGTCGAAGACTCGCCTGGGCGGCGCCCTGTCTCTATCTCTGTCCCTCCAACAGGTATCCCTCAAACTTTCTCTCCAGTCGTTTCCGTGCCTGTCTGCCGTGGTGTCTCTTCGCTCGTACTCGGGAGAGCGTCTTCTCGTCACTTCCCCCCGTTCGCTCGAGATGCCTGTCTTTAGAGCTCCCCGCGGCTCTGTCACTGCCGGTTCGCCCCTTCCGTCGGGTCCTCCTTCATTGGTTTGGTCGGCCCATCTCAGCGGCGCTTCGCGCCTAATTCGGTCTTTCAGATCTCTCAGGGCGCGATCGGGCGATGTCCTG